TGGTGCATCATGCAGCAAGATCTGAAGATTGGCCTCTTCCATTCTGAGCAGTATAGCAAGATGACATAAAATGAGGTGAAATGAAATGTTAGGCCATCATGATATGTGTTGACAGTGTCATTGTAATTCACATTATCACTTTTCTTTTGGCCCAGCATCTCCCACCTCCTTTTGTCTCCCACTCCTGCTACACCGGCTTCCATTTGTTACCAAGGCAACCCTTTCATCCCACCCCTTCTCTCTATCTCCCAACCCATCCATCAAAAGACAGTCTTCAATCCCTCATTTGCCCCCTCTTTCCCTGTCTCTCCCCTGCAATAATGGCCCCTACCAGGATTGCAGTGTTTACTTTAATGTCTCTGAATAATTCATAGCATTTCTCAGCAGCTCATAGACAAAAGGGTATTTAAATAGCAGTTTTACTTGCACTGCATAATTCTACATATCTCTTCTCAGCGTGAAATGTTTTTAAAGTGATATACTGTATTGTGTTGACTGCAGTAAGGAACATGGTTTGTGGAATGCAGTATCAGTAGCTTCTGGTGAATTTTACAGTATGATCAAGTGCGTATCTTGTCTCTGTTTTCTACACCGAACTGCATTATAAAACGGGAAGAAACGTTTACAGCAGGTGGCTACAGGTGTGGGTGCATTGCAGTACAAGTTGGTGCTGTCAAGGAAATTATATTATCATGTTTTTATGATTTAGCAAGTTTTATGCTATAAATGCATGCCAGTTTTTGATATAGCTATATCTATCTATCTATCTATGTATCTATACATGTATGTATATATACTGTATGTGTGTATGTGTGTGTATATATGGATAGATAGATAGATAGATAGATAGATATATTTCTAGAAAATAAAATATACAATTATATATATATTTTTTTTTTTTCTTCTAATTTTACCAAAAAAAATGGCACACCACAGTATTTTTGGCTGTTTTAATTTCATTTATACATATTTTTGTCTATATATTTCAATTCAAGAAAATATATGTCACATTTGAAGAAAAAGTCAGGTTGAAACTAAATAAATGTTCTATGTAAAAAAAAAATTTTTTCACTGAGCTTCACTGCTTATATATATTTATAAAACATATATTTAGCATATTTTTACAATGTATTTTGACCACGAATATGTAACAAAAATTGCAGCTCTGGATGCCTTTGTTTACCAGTCTTATTTTATCATATGCTGCACACAAGCACACTGAAATAATGCGGTGTGGTGATGCTGGGCGGGGGGGAGACGCCACCACCACTTTCGGGTCACACCATCCACCCTTTCTTCATATCAGCCAGATCTTGACCTTGAATCTAATTAACCTGAATCTTATTGCTCTGCACCACACTAAAAGCATCATACGCCCTCCAAGATCAACAGGACACAGACAGCCAGCTGTTATCATCTGCTTTTATTTATCAGTCAATCACAGGGAGATAAACAACAGGATTTGTGTGTTTATAGAAGCAGGCCATGATGAACTTTTAGTGGGAATTGTGAAAATCAATGTTTGTTTGTTCCCATAACTATGACTCGAGGTAAAGTTTGCAGCGTTGAGGAACAAAGAAACTGCAGTGCTCCCTCCTCCCTCTTAATGTCGGAGGAAAGCAGAACTGCATGTGGCTGATTGGAGTCCATCTGCTTGCAGTATAAAACATTTCATCAAGGGGGTAAAAACCATGTAATGAAAGCCCAGTTTGCACAAAACAAGGGTTAATGTAAGTGCAAATACTGCAGCATGTCTCTAATAATCAGAGCATCATGAAGAGCAAGAGGGAAATCTCCAGAGCTTTCCACCTGAATTTGCAGTCAATTCTCATAAATATTCCAGCCACGTTTCACGCCTCTGAGGAACCAATACACAGCAGAACGTGTTATATTTTATACAACAAACATGAACCTGAATAGCTTTAATGCGTTTTCCAGTCAGGTCGCTATGTTCTTTTAAATCATTGAAAATATTTGCGTTTTAAAGTAGATTTTGGATGTGAATGTGACAAGAATGATAATCATTTGATTTGCTATGCTGTGGTGTCATGATGAGATACACTCAAATTACTCTCTGTAATTTCATATTCTAGTAATTTAAAGCAAAGGCAATAATAGAATTTAACGAGATCATTCACATCAGATATGTAACGTCTCTACAGCTCTGTTGTTTCTTATTACCCCAGTCGTTTCACATTTAGAAACATCACTGAAACAGAAATTCAAGCAGATCAGATTTTGTGTATTGGTATTCATAGGAGTCTTGCTGAAAATGAACAAGTGTTCTGTCTGGCTTGTGCCAGCAAGTATCTGAGATGGAGACTAGTATTCATGAGGATGTTATCACATTTCTTCACTTTCTGCTGAGCATTGAGCTGCGAGGTTGACTTTAGTTGTGTGGGGAGGCCATTTCTTTTTGCTGAATCGGGAGTGAAATCCCATTTTAGCCCTGTGAGACCTAGCATTTGGAATATTGTTGTGTTTTGGCCTATTATTTCTGGATGTAGCGAACGTTTGTTGACTTTCATTAGTGCAACACATGAGCGTAGAACTTCTTGTATGCTTTTTTTGTTTCTTGTACCCTGCAACATGTTACAATAAAAATATTGTTTTAAATGATCAGTTTATTATCAGTTATCAGTTTATGGAACCATTTGTTTTATTTAACAAGGATGCATTTAATCAAAAGTGACAGTAAAGAAATTTACAGTGTTACAAAAAAATATGCTGTCCCTTGTGAATTTTTCTCAACAAAGAATCCTGAAAAGAAATGTAGGATGATTTCCACAAAAATGTTAAGCAGCACAATTAATTAAAGCATTAGAGAAATTAATTTTAATAAAATGTTTCTTGAGCACAAGATCAGCATATTAGAATGATTTCTGAAGGATCATGTGACACTAAAAACGGGAGTAATCATAGGAATAAATTACAATTTAAACATTTAAAAAGAAAACAGTTGTTTTAAATTGTAATAATATTATTTAATTTTTTTAAATTAAAAAAATCCAGTTTTTGCAGTATATTTGATCAAATAAATGCAGACTTGGAGAACATAAAAGACATTAAAAAAAAATCTTACCTACCCCAAACTTTTGAATAAAATTACTATACTATACATATATAAATTCATTAAAAAAATTACTTTTCATTGTGCATCTTGTTTATTGGTGCAAATAAGTTTCAGGAGTTGAATTGCAATTCAAAAGACATTCTTAATTCACATCTGAATGTCGCACAACCTTGAATCTCTGATATACTGTCATCTCTCATGCACCCCCATTGCTGTGATACTCTGAATAAAAAAATCATCATCCCTATGAAGTGTTCTTGATGCACAACACAGACAGCTTGCTTTGTTTTTTATCTATTGTTCTCATTGTGTGTTTTTCATCTGCGGTCTTTTACCGTAGAGACAGTGTGTACTTTACCCCTGGCTGTGGTGAGAGAATGCTGAATTTAGCTGCGCACCGCAGCTGCTTTGAAGAGGTTTCGTCTGTAATGTGCAGCAGTTAGACTGACTCTTTTGTCTGTGTTTGGTGGAGGAAATCTCTGCTGCACTTTGAAGGTACCAGGATACGTTATTGTGCCTGAAGACAAGAAAGAGGGGGAGAGAAAAGAGTAGAAGTGTAATAGAAAGTGTTTTATGATAATGCCGGAGGACTTGGTTTTAATCTTATGTCAGGATTACTCTGCTGTTTGGATTTAAATATCATAGAGTATAAAGATCGGTTTGGACTGTTGAGCAGCAATCGAGGTTTAAAAGGATAGTTCTCCCAAAAATGTAAATTCTGTTGTTATTTGCACACTTTCATGTCGTTCCAAACCTGTATGACTTACTTTCTTCTGTAGAGCATAAAAGAAGATGTTTTGAAGAATGTTCTGGTCGCTCTTGTCAAAAAGAGCACAAATACCATGAAAGTGGCACATAAGTCTTATATTATGAGCCCTCTGAAGTCATAAGAGAGACTTATGTGGGAAACAGATAAGTGTTATTATTTGTATGCTTTTATGACATTTTGTTTAATTGAATTAGCTTGTATTTTTTATATTTTCAGTTTTCATTTTAATTTTAGTTCACATTGTAGTAATTTATGTGCATTTGTCATTTTTAATGATTCTAATTAGCTTTAATTTATATTCATTTCAGATTTCTTTAATAAATGTTTTAAATATTTTTTTAAATAACATCTTATTTTAAAATATATATTTTTTTAAAAACAGCTTTTTATATTTAAAATAACAGCTTATAGTATTTCAGTTAGTTGCCAATGCAACAACATTTCTCCTTTTCATTTAAGCTTTTCATCTAATACTTATTTTTTTGCTTTATTTCATATTTATTTTAGTTAAGTAAACTACTTTTAATAGTTTTAGTTAAGAAACAAACCACTGGATCAAAACAAAATGTAAGTCATTAATCACTAATAAACTTCACCTCCAGTGAGCAATGAATTTCTGTGACTGAATTAATGAGTTTACAATTCATGAACGAATCATTCTGACAATTATTATGAACTAGATCAAATGATGTATTAAAAAGATCCAGAAGAAACGGAGTTATTCAGGTTTGGAACAAATGATAGTGAGTAATTTTATTAAGTGGACAATTCCTTTAAATATTCAGTATAGCAACAAATAAACTAATTGTTTGCATTTAAAATCTGCAAACCATTGAATGAGAATGGCATACATGCAGAGAGCAATTTATTATCAACATGTTTGTAATTCAAGTGAAAATGATACATTCTTTGTTCAGATACAGTTGTTCCCTCAAGGTTTTATTTTAGGATGCCACTGTAATGCATATCTGATGTATGTACATTATAGATGAACATGCATTGATCTTATCCTTTTATTGCAGTGAAATGGAACACATTTCCTGGAACAAGGCTTGGAGTTATCTTTTATTTCAGGCTGTCTGACAACATCTAGATGCTGATTATTCCCTCGCTCTTAGTCTAACTTTAGATGCCTATCTGTATCTCTTCTTCTTGCAGAAACCGGGTACATTGATCCAGTGATTATTGAAAAATACAACACCCCCGGGTTTGTGGGTTGCCTGTCCAGAGTGCAGTTCAACAGCATTGCTCCTCTGAAAGCCGCTCTCAGGTCCCGTGGTTCTGTTCCTGTTTCTCACCAGGGTAAACTGGTGGAATCCAACTGCGGAGCTTCACCCCTCACGATCCCACCCATGTCTGCTGCAACCGACCCGTGGCACCTAGATGCAGGTCAGCACATTTAAACAACAGAGGTCTTGAAGTCCCGCAAATGCACTGAAATCTCTCAGTCCTGCATTATTTCCCAGGAGTGGTGTAAAAGACATTTCATTTTCATGAATAATCTACTAAAAATAATCTACTTGTAATTTATTTGGCATCGAGAAAATTATTAATTCTCTTCTCAGACACATCGGACTGTTCGGTGTTTTCACATGTATTCATTTTCAGTCTATCGGGGTTATTATAGTTTACTAAAACTATATAGACATTCAATTATTATAATTATTATGATCTCCTACAGGTGCTGATTTCCCCTTCAATGAAGAAAGAGTGATACCAGATGGAGTAAATAGGAATTCAGCTATAATAGGAGGTGAGATGGATACATACTCTTCTTCTATAATTCTGATGAACAATTGCTTCTTTTAAGTTATCTATTCTTTTATACATTAAAGGAGTATTTCATCCAAAAATGAAAATTTGCTGAAAATTAACTCACTCTTAGGCCATTCAAGATGTAGTTTGTTTCTTCATCAGAACAGATTTGTGGAAATTTAACATTACATCACTTGCTCAGCAGTTGATCCTCTGCAGTGAATGGGTGCCGTCAGAATGAGAGTCCAATCAGCTGATAAAAACATCACAATAATCCACACGACTCCAGTCCATCAATTAACATCTTATGAAAAACGTCTTAATGATGGATTTCTTTATTACAAACACAGCTTTTCTCTTCTTTTCTCTTCATGTTATTGATGGACTGGATTCATATGGATTACTTGTGGATAATTGTGATGTTTTTATCAGCTGTTTAAACTGATTCTGACGGCACCCATTCCCTGCAAAGGATCCATTGGTGAGCAAGTGATATGATGCTTAATTTTCCCAAATCTGTTCCAATAAAGAAACAAACTTGGATTGTTGTCTTGGATATATTTTCATACATTTTCTGCGACTTTTCCTTTCAAACTGTTCCTTTAACTGTGGCGAATGTATTTTCCTTGCAGGTATCATTGCAGTGGTGATCTTCACTATTCTGTGCACGCTGGTGTTTCTGATCCGGTACATGTTCCGCCATAAAGGCACCTACCACACCAACGAGGCCAAGGGGGGAGAGTCATCAGAGTCAGCCGACGCGGCCATTATCGGCACCGAGGCCAATTTCACAGAGACCATCGATGAAAGCAAGAAAGAATGGTTCATCTAATGGGGGTGTACAGACTCTTTCAGAATCTTTTTTTGAGTATCAGAACTAATGTTTTGGGATCAAGCTCATCACCAGTTTGAGAAACTGTCCTGTACATAGTGACTGGCTTGTCTCTTTCTATTGTGTTTTGGCAGAAGTCTTTTAGGTGTGTAATCTCTGGATCACATTAATAAATCATTTCACCATGTGTTCTTTTTTTTAACAGAAACATAATTATTTGCCAAAATCCTCTTTTATGGAAAATGTTTATGTACGTTTAATCATTTTCTTCACGTGCTTAATCTTACAAAAAGTGGAAAATGTTTTAGACAGACTGTAAATGTTAAATGCTCTATATGAATATGTTTATTTAATTCATTGCACAAACGACAGAGTTTTAGATGACATCAGATTGTATATCATCAGCGAGGGGAAGAAAAACAAGGCATGCACCAAGAATTATGTCAAATCGACGCTGTCTGTTTGTAGCTTTCTGCACAGCTATGCTCATTTATTTCTTGTGGAAGCCTTCAGTTTATTGTTCCTTGCCAAACACCACTCAGTCTTAAGCATTTGTTTTGCTGAAGGCATGTATCATGGCATAAAGATGTTATTTTGAGAGATCATTTTGTCTGTGATTCATTTATGCAGGCTGTGGTAAAGCATTGGCATAGTGGCATCTATTTGGCAGATGAAAACCCAAACATGTATCATCAGCGTTTGTCATTGCAGATGAAGAAGGTGGGACCACTGACACCCAATTTAATGACTTCATTCAAGGTGCCTTTAGGATTCAGCCAGCCGTCTGTGGAGAATTACTTTGGTTAAATAGATAAAAGGAGAATCCCAACTAATCAAATGGCTGTTTGTATTTATTTGATATATTTGACTGAGAAGAAAGCAGACCCAATGTTTATGAGTTTAGAAGTGTTTGGAACAGCACTGTCATATAATTTTTTTGCACTGTGTATTTTGTCAAATTACTTTTGACATTTTTTAAGTACTATTTACTTTTTTTAATAAAATGTCAAATAAAACGTCATTTACATACAGATTATCCATTCTCTCAGAGGCTGGTTCACAGAATGATTTTAGACAACTGATGTCGGTCAGTGTAATGTATTTATTTGTTATAAATATCTAGGTTTAGAATTATGACACATCCGCCATTCATTGGAGTAATTATGAGTCTGATCTGAATAGTTTATCATTCTCTTATAGAGATATCAAGCTAAATTTGATCGTTGTTTCATCAGCTCTCTTGTTTATGTGGTTTTGCAAAAAAGTAGATGTGTATCTTAATATTATTTTTGAAAGGTGTACGGGTAATGATATATGTTTGGAAGGGTTTGTGTTCACAATCACATCTCAGACTATAACCATGTTAATTTAGTTAAATATTTCTCAAATTGACATTTTGGAGCGTATAATGAGGGATTCATGAGACTATACAAGAGTCTTGATGAGTTACACTTTTATATTCTAATATCAATGTTTTCACCCCTCATTTACATTGAAAATATAAACATTGTTTTGTATTATTGTAAGGTTAGTCAGTTAGGATTCACAATAAATGAAATATATGAATATATTTTTATGAGGATATTTTGTAGATGACCTAGCCTTTCATTGTGTCTCATCTATATGTGTATTAGAGGAAGGATTTTCAAAGTGTTCTCAAGATCTGTGAAGAAAAAAATATGTACTTAAACGTTCCTTGTATGGAGACAGAAAGCTTTGATCATTTTAATTGTCATAATATGACCCCTTTTCATTTACCTTTAACAGTATTATTCTTTAGACATGTTGAATTTATGTTTTGTGAAGGTGATTTTTGTTTCTTTTTATGACGAGAGGATACAAAATAATAAAATGTTTTCTATTATTTATTGAACACAGCTCAGTTCTGCTGCCTCTCATATGGCACGTATATAGGCCTTTAAATGTAAATATAGATTTTTTGATCACAGCAATTCAAGGCTTTGACATTTTATTGTTTTTGAGTCAATATACGAGTGAAAGTGTAAACAATATAATATATTTACTCATCTGTATCTCATATTATGATTGCATTCTGCTCGTGTATTCAACTTGTTTTAACGGCAGCATGACCACTGTATGTGAAATTGTACATACTGTACTTTAAACTATTGTGCAATATCACAATTGTATTTACTCCTGGGGGCATATTTTTTACCTTTTGTTATGATGTTGACAAGTCAGGAATGAATAGTACAATACTTTTTATATTTAGAGCAACTCAGTTCTCGACTGGCTGTTTAACGTAAAATATTTGTACTGACCTCTTTTCATCCATCTCATTACTGTGTGAGGCCTGATTGCAAAATAAGAGAATTCCTCATTAATGTGGCTATTCTTATGGGAAGGGAATAAAAGCAAGTAGCCTACCTAACAAATGTTTGTTGTGTAGTTTTTTTTCAATGTCTACTACATTCACATTAGATGGAACTTCAGATGTTACCGACCGTATATCAAATTCAATATATTATTGGGTTAAATATATATATGAATATGGAGTTGTCTATCAGTCCCTATAAAGTTACATTATCAGACATCTCTATATTTGAAGAAAACTAAAACTTTTATAAAATGTATACTGCGTAACACAAGGCAGTCAGATGTTGCGATGTGGATACTGCATGGTATGCATATAAAACTGAAGTCCATAATAATTTGTAAACTAGAGGTCTCTTATGTTGACACGTTGTGATGACTCTTATGAAGCGGAATTTAGTCAGCTACTGCCCAAGCATCTCAGAGGCGACGACACGAGAGGTAGTGGTGAGTTACTGCAGCTATATTGTGAATGTAACTGAATGGCTTCAGGATCTGAGGAGGATGGTTGGGATCTTGAAAGTGATATGGAGTGGCAAAAGGCTACTAATAAGCGTAAGAAAAAAAGAGTAATGGATCAGGAACAGAAACATCTCAGGTTACTTATGTAACCATGGTTCCCTGAGTAGGGAACGAGACACTGCGTCCTCTAGGGGTGTCGCCGGCCAACAAGTTGGTGTTTTTTCAATGTATGCTTCAGTCACGACGAGGCGTTCCCCATAGCGACCCCTAGAGGACGCAGTTCAAAGTTCCCATGAAAGGGAACAGATGATACTGTTAAAAAAGTGAGAGGACATGACAATGTAACATCTGGCAGTGAGACGCAAACATGGGGAGAGTTGTAACATCACTATTTCCACCTATCAGGGATAAGCTAGGAGTCCTATGATAATTTCATTATTTACCCACTTCCTCCCCGATCTTATATCAATGGTTGTCAAGGCTGTAAATAGATATATGCAGCTTTTATAAAGAAAAAAAAACAGATTTTGGTGTAAGAATCCAATTTTTTTTTACCAAAACTTTATTTTGCTTAGAACTTAAACTGTTGCAGATTAAATCATATAACTTACATTAGAATAAATTGTAGATTCTCAGGCAAAATGTGATGCATTTTTAAACTGCTAATTTCAAACCATAATGCTAATACAGCTAACTAAACATTAGATGACAGGGGTGGGGTAAGTTGTAACACATTTTAGCATTCCCTTGCATAGAACAGAGAACTTTCATGTTGTATATATGGAGCTTTTTTTGGCCGCTCAAAGCCAAATGCAATGTGGGTAAAATGTGCCCTGTGCAGTTTCTGGATCCACCAAGCCTGCACTCTAGGGTTAAAAACATTGGTTTTACACCATTGTGAATCTGATTGAGAAAATTCATACATAGACATAATCTCGCACACAAATTTACACAGGTTTTTGTTAGATCTGCATATTCTTTACCTCAGTACACTGGAGTTGAGTGTTCAGTAAGCATAAATACTGTTAAAGGGATAGTTCACCCAAAAATGAAAATTTGATGTTTATCTGCTTACCCCCGGGGCATCGAAGATGACTTTGTTTCTTCAGTAGAACACAAACGAAGATTTTTAACTCAAACCGTTGCAGTCTGTCAGTCATATAATGTAAGTGAATGGGAATCACGGCTTTGAGAGTCAAAAAAACATACACAAACAAAACCAAATGAAACCCTGCGGCTCGTGACGATACATTGATGTGTAAAGACACGAAACGAACGGTCTGTGCAAGAAACTAAACCGTATTTATATTGTTTTTTACCTCTGATTCACGCAATGTCTGAACTGTCCTGAGCGGTTTCTTCTCCCCGGAGAGAGGGCCAGGCACTTAATCTATCTTCCTCCAAGGAGGTTGAGGTGATGAGCGTCGACACGGAGGAGACTGCGGACTCGCCACCGCAGTCCCTCACGTATGAGGAGCTTGTGGAGGTTGTGACTCGTGCTGTAGCCAAACTGAACATTGAATGGCCAGCCGAGAAACAGGACGCTCATCCCAAGAGCAAGTTGGACGAGCACTTCCTCAAAGCTAGATCACAGCCTTCACGACGGGGCCTTCCATTTTCCCCCAATCTCTATACTGAAGTCACAAGATCATGGGATAAACCATATTCGTCCCGACTCTTCAGGCCTACAGTATCCAATTACTCAAACATCACGGAGCTGAATGAGAAGGGATATGGGGCGATGCCGGCGGTGGAGCAGACGCTCGCGAGCTATCTCTCCCCGTCCTCAGCATCATCCCTGAAGGCCCCGAAGCTTCCCACCAAGGCAGTAAAACTGACATCCAGCCTGGTAGGGAAAGCTTATACGGCGGCAGGTCAAGCCGGTGCGTGTCTGCACACTATGGCGGTGTTGCAGGCATACCAGGCCGACCTGCTAAAAGACCTGGACGATAGGGAGGAAGAGGAACTGCGTCGGGCCACAGACCTGTCGCTTCGAGCCACCAGGGAAACAGCCAGAGCCATCGGCTACGGAGTGACACCTGTGGTTGAATCTGTCCGAACTACAAGACAAGGGCAGATTCTTCCTCCTGGATGCCCCAGTATCGCTTTCTGGCCTCTTCGGCGGCGCAGTCATCTTCCTCCCTATCGAGAGGTTTCAGGAGGTGAAGAAGCAAGCGGCGACATTCCAGCATTTCCTCCCTCACCACCCCCAGGCGGCACTCTCGGTCGGGGTCCTCTAAACAGAAAGCGGATCTGTGGACTGTTATTATGTCCAAGAGGACCTCGGCCAAGCGGTCCTGACAATTCCATCGTCAGTTTAATAAATGCATCACTATACAAAATAGGTAAACATATTACAGGTAAATGTGCCTTTTGTGGGGTAATAGAAACCATTGAACATGTAATATTAAAATGTCGGAAATATATGAGAGAGAATTAAAATGATAAAGAACTTAAAAGGTAATACTAAGGAAAAAAAGAAGATAAATTGGATATTAGGAAAATGATTAAAAGAGGGTATTAATCAAAGAATAGTAATGGAATATATTGTATAAACAGGATTAAACAAACGAATTTGATAGGGAATTAAATAAATTAATTAATTAAACAAAGGAATAGGGGAACACACAAGCTGGGTTTTTTGGCATGGGAGCTCAACACGCAGCAGCCAGAAATACAGCTTGGGTGAACCCGAAATAAAATTAACAATAAAGTAAAATAAAATATGAATAGAGACGGGACTATCATCCATGTATGAATGAAAACAGTAGGTGGTGGTATGTGCCTATAGTGCGGAATACGCCAAAATCCCAAAGAACAAGAAGAAGAAGCATCTCAGAGGCTGCGTTACACTTTGGCGTTAACACATGCGATATTGTCAACTTGTGGGACACAAACCTGCCTGGTAGGATTAGTCTAAATGTTTTCGTGCAGTTTTTGAAAGGACATGTCAATTAGAACATGTAATTACTGAAAGAAGAAGCGATTTATGTCAATAGGTTACCGTTTTCCTTTAAACTGCATTGACTACGACGATGTCAGTTATTGTTTAGCTTATTATTTTTCCTTATCGTTTTCCTTTCGCTCGTTGTGTTTTATTAGGTCACAGTCGTTCCGTTTGGTGTCAGTTACACAGTGAAGATTGAAGTTAGCCAGCCTCTTGTTTAAGTTGCTAAAAACAATGTAGACGTGTTCATATTTCATATATTTCGGAGCCTCCGTTGATTGAGGTTGAATTTTTAAAGAAGGTTTTGTTAGTGTTTTACTGAACCATTCAAAAGGTTGGATTACGTAGGTTCAATTGAATGTTTTTTTTATGTTTTTTATTCTGCAAGGAGGCGTTAAATTGATTAGAAGTGCCATTTATAATGTTACAAAAATTTATTTTAAATAGGCCTAAATACTATTCTTTTGAACTTCTTCCTCATCAAAGAATCCTGTAAAAAGTCTATACAAAAATATTAAGGAGCACAACTTTTCCATACTGATAATAAGAAATATTTATTGAGCAACAAATCAGCATATTAGAATGATTTCTAAGGGATGACTGTATAATGGCTGCTTTGCCATCACAGAAATATATTTAGTTAAATTTTACTAAAACAGAAAACAGTTTTTTCAAATTGAAATAGGCTATTTCACAATCTTACAGTTTTTTACTTTTTTTCTCAATCAAATAAATGCAGCCTTGGTGAACATAAGAAATGTCTTTCAAAAACATGATATCTTAATGACCTCGATCAAACTTTTGGTAGTGTAAATGTTTTATTATTTATTTAATAATTGTTTAAATATGTATATGGAATTAAATTAGTATAACTGTTTATCTGTCTAAATAGTTCACACTAAATCTTTTTAATGTCACTGAACAGGTCTTCAAAACAGATCTAGCAGAGAGATCAAATGTAATGAATGTTTTTTTAACTCTTATAGATACCTTGCTGAAGTGGCTGGGCACTTCTACACTTCTTCCTTACTTCTACAGCACTTCTCAAAATCAACCTGAAGATTCAACCAAAGATTCATTCAGCAAGTGCATAATGCCACGATCAAAGGAAATTCCAGAAGATGTAAAAGAAAAGATAATTTTTTACCATAAGTCTGGTAAGGGTTACAAAGCTATTTCTAAAATTATGGGACTGCATCGATCCACTGTCAGAACTATAATTTCCAAATGGAAAACATTTGGAACAGTGATGAATCTTCCCAGGAGTGGTCGACCCACAAAAATTTCACCACGGACACAGCGGAAAATCATCCAGGAAGTCACAAAGAAACCCGAAATAACGTCCAAAGAACTGCAGGCTTCTCTTGCTTTAGTTAAAATCAAAGTTCATGACTCTACAATCAGACGGAGACTGGGCCAAATTAGGAAACGCGAGATAGTGTCAAAACGAAAAACACTGCAGAAAAAGAAAATAAATGCTTGTCTTGTTTGAAAATAATCTACAGGAAGATTCCCAAATTTATGAGGAAAATCTTTTAAAAGCAGAAGTGGCAGAAGTGGATGTTTTTATTTGATAAAAGTCCCATCATGTCCAGTGTAAAACAAACAGTCCTGCAACAATCCACAGTAGAAAGAAAAAAAATGTATCTGTATTTACTTCTGGACCAGAAGTTCTGGTGACATATTTTTTACATTTTATTGTGTCAGGTATGAGTAGAACAGTACCTTAATCCACTGTATAAAGCCTGACTGAAAAATATTCATCTATATTACTGTTTCTATGCAAAGGAAATAAAAAAAGGCAAAAAAACATGCCTGCAAAAAATTGTCGTGTAATTTGTTTGAAATTCAGCTACGTTTGTGTTTTGACTTCAACTGGATTATTACTAGGTGGCAACTGGAGTTTTTCTTTAGCCTTTTCTGTCAGCCATTTGTCAAGTTCTACTAGTGCAGGGGTGGCAAATGTTTGCTTCAACCCTAACCAAACACCTGAACGGTTACTAGGAAGCTACAGGCAGGTCAGTTTTAATTAGGGTTGGAGCTGAACTCTGCGGGGCTGCGGCTCTCCAGGACCGGAGTTTGCCACCCCTGTTCTAGTGTCTAGCTAGACCAGGGCTGTCCAAACTCGGTCCTGGAGGGCCAGTGTCCTGCAGAGTTTAGCTCCAACTTGCCTCAACACACCTGACTGGAAGTTTCTATGCCTAGTAAGAGCTTGATTCGCTGGTTCAGGTGTGTTTAATTAGGGTTGGAGCTAAACTCTGCAGGACACCGTCCCTCCAGGACCGAGTTTGGACAGCCCTGAGCTAGAGACCCTGGAGTCAAAAAGGTTTGAGAAGCACTGCACTAGAGGACTGGATGGCGTTAGTGAACACCGGGTGTCGCTGTATCTCTCAGTGAACACTAGAGGTCGCTGTATTTCTCTGCGCTGTGGCGTATGGTAATGACTCTTCACTCGCTCTACGGAATTCTTATATCAATCATCTCCAGCTGCAGAGAACAAACACATCAACACCTCTTACAGCACAACATTACAAACGGGTAAGATTAAATACGTGTCAACCACTGGGTTTTAAGATAATGTATGCCTAGCAGGGGATATTTGACTGAA